GCTCCCCCACCCCCCAGAAGACTGTCCAGTGCTGCAAGCAATTATGAAAGCAGAGTCTTGCACAGCCGCTAGCAGAATAGAGCAAGTCAGACAAAAAGGGAGTGCTGTGTGTGGTTTCCTTTGTGGCCAAGACATTGAGGACTCACCTGGATAGTGTGAAATTCAACCCTCCCCTTGAAAAGATTACAATTTACCAGGTGCTCCACGTGTCCAGCAGAGAAGAGACAGGAAGGCACCATGAAGAAGAGAGTCCTATTCCCCTTCCTCCCCACCAGGCCCCAGAATTGGGAATGGAAGGGCCAAGCTGAGCTTTGATGGCTTCTCCAAAGCCCCACGTGGTTGTTGCCTTGACCCCCCTGGTGGATGGGATGCAGTACCCTGTCTACGCCACACCAAGCTCCTCTCTTCTGCTCAGCCCCCATCAGCCTTGCTGGGCATCACACAGAACCACGAGCTGCTCATTTCTTTTCTCCAGCAGGAAATCCAACTTGTAATTCCTACTCTGGTGCTCCTGGGCTGTTCCTGGTTCTTATAGGTACTGGGTGAAACACAGAGAAACAAATGCTGCTTCAAACTTCGTGGGCAAAAGCTGAATTTATTGAAATTGCAAGTCTGAACCCAGGACAGGCCAGATAAATGAACTTCAGCTCTGTAAAGCTCCTCCATCTCAGACTGTGACAGAAAAAGCAGCTCCTGAGGCTTGGGAGAAAGAAAACAAGGAGGCAGAAGAGAGGGTTGCCCCTGGTATCCGGCAAGGCTGACCTGCCCGGCTGCGTGCCTGTGAGCTGGAGATCAGAACTAGCCTGAGCACATTACTTTGGGAGCAGAGGAGGCCAAGGCAGGTTGAGCTGCTCCAGTGGTTCCGCACAGGATTCTCCTGGGCAGTCGCAGGATCCAAGCAGGCTATGCCTCTGAGAGGGCTCTCAAGGCACTTCAGGGGGCTGATGCAGTTACAGCAGCCAAGCCACACAGAGTCAGTTGCTCCAGTGGGACGGATGACCAAGAGCCAGATGGCATATGAATCAGAGGCCTCTGTGCCAGGAAATCTGTTAGAACTGCACCCACCCCCAGTTGCACCATCTCTGGGAACCTTTCCCCTCCGTGGGGAATAGATGCCCCTTTTGGTCAGAGAGGGGCACAAAGTCTCCACCCTCCACGTTCTGTTGTTGCTTAACCAAGTGCCTCTACACCCCATCCACAGAAAGGGATTCAAATCCTGGCTGTGGACTAACCAAACTGTTCCAGGAGCCCAGTACAGGCTGCCTTCTCCCTGGCTGGCTTCAGACTGGCGATCCGCAGGGGTTGCACTCTTCACCCAAAGCTACGGAATCTCATTCGGTGGAAATGGTCCCGCACATTCTGGTCAGTATCTTGGGGCATCTGGTTAAGCCAGATTACGTGGCTGCCGAAAATGTCTTCCTTCAGCTTCCGCTTTGACAGGACCACCCTCCCAGGAGAGCTGCCAGCCTGGGGGCCCGCCAGCAGTACATAACAGGCATGACGGCTCCGCTCGAAAAGCAACCCTAGAACCAAAAGGGGAAGTGGTAGCAGGAGCCCCAGTGCCCGGGCTATTTTGCAACGAGCAGGGAACGTCCACTCACCTTCAAAGGCCACTATGGGCTCGGTGCTGTTGGTCAGCTCCAAGAGGGTGTTGGGGAGGGAGGGATGGAAAAGGTACAGCCGCTGCTGCTGGGCTCCTTGCCCAGATCCCTGGAAGAGAAGAAGAATGAGAGGGCCCAGGGCCCCCCGAGCAAGCCTGGGCTGGTCTACTTATGCCCAGGAGCTGCCATGCTCCCCATGTGATGCTGGGGTGAAGACCTCCTGTAGAAGGAAGGTCACTCAATTGCTCCATTTGCTCTGCCCGCTACAGGTGGGCCATCCCAGGCTTGTTTTTACTACAGATTCTCCCCAGAGCTTTCTGGGGGGAATCAAGTCCACAAGGAATGGAGTTGGAAAAGTTTCCCCACTCCCAATTATGGCCAGAGTACAGCTCCTGACTTGCCGGTGCTCCGTAAGGCTCATCGTGGGCAGTCCCACTGCATTCCCATCTGTCATAGGCTACTTCCTACTCACAGTTCCATTTCTTTCCTCCTGGTACAGGCCCCAAAAGAGGAAGACGGATCTACGATCAGCAGTCGCAAGAGTGGCTGGCTTGGGACTCCGGGTTTCTGAAAGCAGCTCCACCTCCCACTTGATGGCTCCAGAGCTGCCATCCACAATTGTAATCTACAGGGTAAATGGCTGCTTCAAAGGGTAGCTGGGCTCCAGGTTGTAGTCACCTTTCTCAACCACCTTTTTACCCCAAGGAGCGAGCTGACATCTTAGAGCAAGGCTGGGCACAGGGTATGACAGCTTATGACTTTTTCCGCACCTCTAATAGCTTAGAGCAGACGTGTGTTTTTTCTACCCCACAACTTGGAAAGTGGAAGAGCACAAAGGAATCACCAGGCTCCATTGGGTTTTAGTAACAGAGGCTCAGACACAAAGCCTAGTGAATAAGAACTGACTTTTACTGCTGTGGAACTAGAGAAAGATACAGGTGCTTTAAGAGCGGCAGGGTTCTGACTTATCGCACACTCTGTTCCTCTAGCGTATGTAAACTATAAAGGACTTTGGACTAATTTGGAATTAGCTGGTGCGTCACCAGCTGTTACCCAATTCTTGTGCTGTAAGAAACATAAGCTTCCACATCTCAAGCTCAAGCCCCAGGAATAATGCAGGCATGAATCATTTATTTCAATGAGCCTTTTTTAGGTCTAACTGAAGCACCACTAAATCCAATCATCTGGCTGTGTATTTCATGTGATGCTGATGCCACAGACAATGGTCTGAATATGCAAACACTGCAGAATAACTTTGGTGGATTCGCCCCAGCATCTGGGGAGAAAAAGGGAGAGGCACAAGGCCTCCATATATATTTGTGGCAACAACAATCTCCAGCTCCTGTTGCTTGAGTGATACAACTGGAGACTCCTGGTGCTTCCAAAAGAACAAAGGATCTGGGTCTGCATCCCACCCACAGGCCCCTTTGCAAACCTTCTTTGTCTTGTGTCTGACTCTGCTTTCAACGGCCATGGCAATCTCGTCAGCACCAAAGGCTCCAAGAACTGGCTCACTGCAAGTGGGATATAAGATGATGCTCAAATGGCATCTCTGGCTTTGGGAATGGCACAGATTCAGCAACACCTGCCCCTCCCCCCTGGTTGTTCACAGCTCCTTTTACCCTTCTTTCCCCATTCCAGGTTCACCTTATCCAGGGAGTACCAAAAACAGACAGCAAAGTCATCTCTTTGCCCCTGCAACTCAGGGCAGGACTGAGCACTCTCACAAGGCTGGGAACAGCCAAAGCTGGGAACCCCAACTTCCCCAATATTGGCATTACCTCAGGATGTGTGGCACACCAACAACCCACAATGAACCCAGCTGCTGCCCATTCACCAGCTCCAACATAGCTGATCTTGCAACCAAAATATGGCTCCCTGGTTTCTCTGACATTTTCGTCACGTACTGAATGTCTCCAGAGCTAAAGGGGAATAGGAAACACCTGTTATCCCTTGCAGGAGGCCATGAATTAATTCTTCCAAGCCTTCAGGGCAGTGGTGCGGGTTGAAACCTTGCTGCTGCAGCCCTTTACAAGCATCTACTTTGCATGCCCAGCAGACCAAGGGGACCCTCTGCTTCAGTTCACGAGTAAAGAAAAGGGGCTGAAGCAAGCAAGGAATATGGAATGGACAAGGGCTGCTTCTATTTCCACAGGCCCCTAGGCCAGAACGTTTTCCAGCAGGTACCTGGCTAGGGGGACCTCTTGGGCTCTGTGCTGAATCACCCTCTCCCAGTGTGCGTCTTCCTTCAGGTCAGCGAGGGCTGGGCTTGCTGCACCCACAGCCATGTGATAGAGCTGGTTCAGAGAGTAGGCAAACAGAGCCTTTGCTAAATCAAGAGAAGGAGGTTTAAATAAAGCAGCCTGAAGTACAGACGGTCCAGCTGCCCTCCTCCTCCACGCCCGGAAAGCACAGGACCCACCCGTGTAGAACAGGACGTAGTGGGCTCCGCTCTTGGTGATGTGCAAGAGGTGTCCAATCCATCCTGGCAAACGCAGGCTTCCGCTAAACTTCATCTGGGTGCCAGATGTCCCTGAATAGAAGAAGCTTTTAATCTGCAGAGAAAATTGGAGCCAGGACAGTTTAGCCAGAGCAGCGCTATGGCTTTTGTAGTACCTTCTGAAGGGGTATCAAAGAACACGGATCCTTAAAATACGGAACCTGATCTTTCTTGTTTATGGTAACAGGGAACAGATAGATCCCGCTGGTTTACAGACAAGAAACGTTTCAGTATCAACACAACTAGTGCTCAGGGGACCTCCCTGAACAAAGTTTGTGGGAAGAAAATGATTCTGGCCTTGGAGGAAGCAGCAGTTTGGGCTGAGTAAGGAAGGCCCCCCAGGACGGACAGGTCTGCTGTGCCTGCTGCTCCCTTTATCTGAGGCCCCCTTGCCTGATCTTCTGGATCTCCTATGAACCCCAGGAAGCCCTACAACGGGATACCCAGCTCTAAATTCTTCCAGAGTGGCATTCTTCCTCCCCTAAATTCCTGACACCCCCTTTTCAGTCAACTGGAAGTAATAATCCCCCAGCCCACTGACATTTTAATGTTTAAAGATAAGAACAAGGATGAGGGAGAGGATGGAACAAGGGGGATCATGCAATCCTGCAGTAGAAAGCAGGAGTTTCCCAGTTACTGGTGGCCATCTCTCCATCCAGTGGCTGCTACTTGAAACATGCTGGGCTGAAGAACATTAGAGCCTTAGGCCCCCTTAGTTCAGCATCCTGTGTCCCACAGGGGTGAACCAGGTGCACTTGAGAGACCCACAGGCTGAGATTATATGGCAAGAGCTCCCTGCCATTACTGGTTCCCAACAACTGTATTTCAGGCCTGCTGCCCAGCATTGTTAAGATTAAGAAACAGCCACCAATATTAATCATTTGCCCCCCCCGCCCCCATGAACCTGCCTTTAAAACTGGCTACCATTACCCACCACCACAGGTGGTGAAGTTGCCATGTACTGTGTGAAAAAGTCTTTCTTTCTGTTGTTCCTGAATCTACTTGCACTGAGTTTCAACTACATGTCTTTAGGGTGTGCAGGAGAGAGAAAAACTTGTCTTTCTCCATGTAACCTACACTACGCATGATTTTACATACTTCAACTGAATCTCTCCTTGTCCTCTTTTGTTTCAAGCTCTAGAGCCCCACTTGCTGCAGCCTTTCCTCACAGAAAGCTGCTCCAGTCTTCTAATTATTTTGGTTGCCGGTTCCTATACCATTTCTGGCTCTAAAACATACATACATACATATATATAGTTCAGCGACTAGAACAGCATACTGCAAATAATTCCCTTCCAAATTCTAAAATGAGAATTTGCATTTTGTTTATAGCAACCATGTGTAAGCTCTCCACTGCAATTCTAAAATTCTACTCCTGATCATTCATGACCAGTTCAGACTCCACTAAAGTATAGGCAATATATGGATTGTACATGCCACATTTATTTACCCTGAACCACATTTGCTCTTCTGACCTACTCACCCAGTTCGGAGAGTACTTTCCAATCTGTTTTGATTTTACCACCCTGAACAGTTTGTTATCTCCAGCAAACTGGGCACCTCATCACTCAGCCCCAACTCGAGATAATTTATGTGCCAGTTAAAAAGTGCTTGGTCCCACTGCTGATCTATGAGGAACTCTGCTATGTACATTTTGTCAGTGTGAGACTACTCTGTTTGTTTGCGGAGACTACTTTTGCAGAAGCCAAGTTGCTTCCTTTTCAGTAAGGTTTGTTGATATAGCAGGGCTTGCTTATTTTCTCTTTAATGCTGCTTTCAGGCCAAAGCACTCATTAAACAGCGTGTAGCAGACACAGAGTGCCAGTTGGATCTGGCCAGGGCTCCAACCTTTATTGCCAGTGAATCCAACAGGTACTCTGCCTCCCCTCAGCTGTCCCTGAAGGTCGATACAGGAAGATTCCTTACCTGGGGAGATAATGCTCCTTTAATTCCGGATACACAGAAACAACAGAGCATCCAGCGCCTGAACTATATTCATACTAGCCTCATCTCACCATTGGTGCATAAATACCCAAGGTGCACAGGACAATTCTAAACCTCACTGCTTTCATGTTTTTTATATATAGTTTTTATTAAAAGCTTTAAAAGCAATAATAAGAACTAATACAAACTAAATTAGAACAGAGAAGAAGAAACAAACAGCAGAAAGGACTGAAAGCGCAGTGAGTCCTCCCTGCTGCTTTCAGATACCAACCCTGCTACAACATACGATGTTGCCAGGTTCTGTGCGGCAGCGCTCAAAATTCATCGGAGGATGACCTGTGCCACAAACTAGACTTAATGAGCACCTAGTTCACCATATCAGAGTGCTCTGTGATTTGACAAATAGTCTTCCACATGCTAACCAGGTGCTCCCCTGCACCCATCTAATGCTCCTACCTTCTTTCAGATTCTTACAGATTTTTACATACACTTTCTGAATATCTTTTTAATATCTTCCAGCTTTTCGTATTTTTTTTTTACTCTGATGTATTTTCTATGCTTTTTAATTGACTGTACCCCACCCTCCTAATGCTGATCTAGGACTGTAATAAACATTTGATTTGGAATTTAATATTGCCCCATAACATCTTTTTAAAAGTTGGGGTCACTTGGTTGTTTTCCATCATCAGGCACAGATGCCATGGCAACCAGGCCCCTGATGCTGCAGTGAATCTGGCCAATTCCTCTGGAATAGGCAGGAGGACCCCGTTGCTCCAACAATTCTTACCTCCTCTCCTGCTGCAGCAAAGACCAAGAAATCAGGCACCCCATCTCTGTTGATATCAGGGATCTTCAGTAAGGGACTCAGGACTGTAGAGTTAACCCCAAAGCTGGCTGCCTCATGCCACCGAGTCTGGCCTAGAAAAAAAGAGCCGGAAGCACTGATTCAGAAAGGGCCTTGTGAGGTAAAGGAAAGGCTAGAAAACAGCATTGAGTATTCATTGACTATGCAAAACCCTTCGATTGTGTGGATCACAACAAACTCTGGCAAATTCTTAAAGAGATGGGGGTACCAGATCATCTTACCTGTCTCCTGAGAAATCTATATGTGGGCCAAGAAGCAACAGTTAGACCCGGTCACAAAACAACCGATTGGTTCAAAATAGGGAAAGGAGTACGACGAGGCTGTATAATGTCACCCTGCTTATTTACCCTATA